CAGGAAAAGGAGCATTTTGGGGACAGAGAGGAGAAGAGGAAGGTGAAGATGAAGATTATGTTATTTCCTTCTTTCATACTCCTTCTTGCCTTAGCAAGACAGAGAAACACAAAGCTTGATTTATCAGCACATTCACTCAAGCTACCAAACAAGCTTGGGATAAAAGCTAACCAATAAAACTACTGAAACAGCTCAATTGAACACAAACCCACTTAACAAAAACAGGAGGCCATGAGGGAGCAGGTTATAACCCCAATGCTTATCTTGAGGTTGATGCTATATAATAGGCCTAATTTTAGAGTTACCCTGTATCAGGGAATTTTAAAAGCTTCTGCGAATTTTTAACTGCTTGAGCAGTGCCAAGTAACCACAAACAACACATTTCAGCCTTTTTCTGCACCTCATTCCAAGATAAATCCTATATTCCATCATAGTCTCTGTATGTCCAAATCATGATTCATGAATTTAAGTAGGTTCAGCTACACTGCACCTCATATGCGCTGCCATTTAATCGATTTGACATTACTTCTGAAATATGCAATACGATATTGCCTAGAGGAGATGGCTCTTTTGCAGTCTTCTGCCCAGGAAACCACTGCTGCAGCAAGCTCAACAGTGCTTTGCTCTTTACTGAAGCCCTAAGAGACAGGCACTCTGAGGCAGCTGATCTTCAAACATTGTACCTGGTAGTTTTCTGCACTTTGTTTTTTTATTTTTCTCTTTGTGGTGTTCTAACTTCTCAATGACCATTTGCCAGATGCCTTCAGACTCCTATCTGACATTTAGGAGGCTGATCTGGAGGTATGTTTTGAAGGCAGAAGGGGACTGACGCTAAGACAACCTACTTCCAGTGTGCTTGTTCCTACTTATCTGTCATCAGCTATGGTAAAACCTGATGCTGCTACAGAGCTACAGATCCCTCCTGCTTTGGGCTCATTCAGCAACCTCTGACTTGCAGGATAGTTCTGATATGTGGTCAGCCTCTCGGGTACAGATCTTCATGTTATAATCAAAAGCAGAGTTCTACAGAAAAATGGAACTTGCCTTATGTGGAGGCTCCTTGTGAAAATACGTAACTTCTCCTTTGTCTGTTCCCACTAAAGCCAGGAGATGTTGAATTTTTTTTCTATCCTCCAATTCCCTGGAATTCAAAGAAAGTGGTCAGCACATTGCTATTTTTAAGTACATCAAGACATTGTGACACACTGTCCTTCTAGTTTACCCATTAATGCTTACAAGTTTTCCAAACTGTTGTAGTTCTTGAGAATATTGCTTTAAAAACAAACTCCCAAAGACATTACTGATGTTGCCAATATAAGAAGATCACCACCAATTCCACTGGCATTGGGGGGTATTCCTCTTCTCAAATATGACAATACTACATAGGCTGATACAGCAATAGCACATAGTGGTAAAGAATTTGCATTCCAGAGCTGTGAACTAACTAAAATTCCTCCCGAAATTTCATTCAACAGATTGTAAGTGTCCATTGTTTTTAAAGCAAAATACATTAAGGGCTGTATCGGACTTTTCATCAGGCTCTTGAGAAGTGTCAAAGCACACCAACACACATTTTGACTTAGGTTCTTAAAACTTTAACAGAAAACTTGATATTATCATCCACAAATATTCTGAAGAAGGTTGGGAACTGCTTTGCCACTGGCAGCTAGTCTGGCACAACAAGATATATTCCAGTTCCCCAACTAGGTGGCATTAAAAAGGAGTGGCTGTCAACATGATCTCAGAGTGAGGGGAAACTATTTTCTTTGGTCTGTATTTTCTATTTCAGCCTAAGTGTTTTCAGGGCTAAGGGAGAAAGTTTTGCCAGGCAGGTGCAAGGTCTGTCCATTGAGTTTGTACGGCAAGGTTTAGGCAGCATGAGGGCTACAGAGGTGGCTTCTGCAAGATGCCAGCCGACTCCAAGATGGACCTGCCGCTGGCAAAGGCCAAACCCATGAGGAAGAGGGTTAGCGCCTCTGAGATAACATATTTAAGAAGGGAGTAAAAAAAACCTGCTGCACAGCAGAAGCTGCAAGAGAGAGGAGTGAAAATATGCAAGAGGAACAACGCCGCAGACACCAAGGTCAGTGAAGAAGTAGGGGGAGGAGCAGAGATTCCCCTGCAGCCCATGGTGAACACCATGGTGAGCCAGGCTGTCCCCCTGTAGCTCACGGAGGTTAATGGTGGAGCAGATCTCCACCCTGCAGCCCACGAAGAACCCCACAACAGAGCATAGAGGCCTGAATGAGGCCGTGACCCCATGGGACGACCTGTGGCCCCATGGAGAGAGGAGCCCAGTCTGGAGCAGGTTTGCTGGCCAGGCTTGTGACCCATGGGGAACCCACACTGCAGCAGTCTGTTCCTGAAGGACTGCATTCTGTGGAAGGGACCCATGCTGGAGAAGTTCGTGGAGGACTGTCTCCCATGGGATGGACCCCACAGTGGAGCAGGGAAAGAATGTGAGGAGGAAGGAGTGGCAGAGAATGTGTGATGATGAACTGACCACAACCCCCATTCTCCATCCCCCTGTGCCACTCAGGGGGAGGAAGCAGAAAATTCGGGAGTGAAGTTGAGCCCAGGAAGGAGGGACAGGTGGGGTGAAGGTGTTTTAAAATTTGTTTTTATTTCTCATTAACCTACTCTGATTTGATTGGTAATAAATTAATTTCCCCAAGTTGAATCTGTTTTGCCTGTGACAGTAATTGGTGAGTGATCTCCCTAACCTTATCTCAACCCACAAGCCTTTCATCCTATTTTTTCTCCCCCATCCAGCTGAGGAGGGGACTGATATAGCAGCTCGGTGGGCACCTGCACCCAGCCAACATCAGTCCACCAGAGTCTGCTTAAATCAGAAATTCTACATTCAAACTGGCAACTCACAATTCAAATCTGAATCTATGTTCAACTTCTGCTCTTCCTTCTACTACCAGAATAGGAGCAATAATAAGTGGAAACATATTTAGCAGCCCAATAGATTGCATTCCACCTCCAAGACTGGTACGATTTCATAGGAGCCCTCCCTGGGAAGTGTGGCATAATTGCTTCTCTGCAAACTCCAGATCTGCTTGAGAACTAGAACATAATGCATGCAATTGCTGCTGCCCATGACCCAGCCCACCATCTAAGACAGCACACCTGATTTTCAGCCGGTCATTCTCTGAGTAAAGACGAAGGACATGTTCCCTCTCCTGGAAGAGGTAGACTTGCATATCACTCAAAGCTTTTTGCAACTCTGCAATCTCCTCCTCGCGCTGACGTACTTCCCATTGCAATTTGTGCTAAGTAGAGAGAACAAGGTACTTGAAATGATACAGAACGTTGGGCAACACTTACAAACTTTGAACTGCTTGTGCCTCGAGCCTGTAATTGGTATAGAACAACTGCCAGTTCAAGTGTTACTTTATTCACTCACAAAATTTGACCAGATGAGGGCAGTATTGGAAAAATTATTACAAAATGTTGTACAGGAAATTCAGAGCCCTGAGAATCATTGTCACTATAAAACAATCCAATAAGGCCTAAGCTAGGGTCTCCAGTTTCCAGTGGTTGCACTTCTGCACTGGCGGTCAGAGTGGCACAAGTATAGGGAATCTGACAACGAAAAACCTAGCAAAGCCTCTGTAATAGCGCTAACTCTAAGAAGAGATTACTGAAAATTAAACATTAAAATATCCATGTGGTTTAGTAGTGAGAAATCTGGCTAATCGCTAAGTTTCACTAATGACTTTCTACCTGGTGTGGAAAACTAACAAACCTTTCAGAGAACTATTCCCATAGGAGAGAGGGCACTACTTTGGAACCTGCCCCTCTTTATCCTACATGTTGAATAAAAGTAACTTGTACACCACGTGTTTCCCAAGGGCTTTCAGGCAGCTTCAAGCATGGCCAGTACTTGAGGAGGCATCTCAATCACCTCAGAAGTGATCATTCTATTCCCAAAGGGCTCTTCACCATTACAAAGATGACTGCTAGACAGATGTACACTGTAAGGCATACCAGAGCACTGAATATCTGTAAGATTTCTTCCTCTTAAAAGGCAAAGATACTTTAGGTTTTGGAGTTTCTTTCAAATTCACATTTATTTGCTCTGTAGTATACTGCTTAATACCCTATGGCCAAGCTTATGAATTCCATTGCAGTAAATACAAGTTATATCTGCATCTCAAAGCCCATTAAATTTGGAGAAAAGAGTACTCATTCTTCACCATGAGAAACAAGGGAAAGAAGTTGGAAAACATGAGAACTTAACATCTAAACTGGGGTTTTAATTAAAAAAAAAAACAGAAAGAAACAACCAACTATGAAGATATAACCAAACTATAACAACTTAAGAATACAACATCCTACAGGCATATTTCTGTTCGCTTTGACAGAGGACAGACAGCTAGATTTTACAATCAAACCCTGAAATCTACTCATTTCTTCTTAGCTCAGTTCCACCACATTACTGGTAAATCTTAAGATCACCTGTACTGAGTTTTCAACTGAAGAAAAATATTGTGTAAGGATACGCAGTCATCGTTCAAAAACTCTTTTCCTAACCTGTTCATCATACGTTTCTCTGTATCTCTCCAGCCTTTTCACCAAATCCTCATGTTCCTCATCAAAGTCAGCAATCTTCTTGCGGTAGTATTCCAGCAGCTCCCGGGAAGGATGGAGAAAGGCCAAGCGCTCACTGATTGAAGGGAGAGGAGTAAAGCCCTCCTGAGTCGGAGACTGAGAATTGGCATACCTGGATGAGACATGGGGGGTTGCCAGCCTGGACAGAAACAGTTTCTAATGACATGTAAGCTTCAGACAATAAAATAAAAAACTTTCTGAAATCATTTAAAGTAGATTTCAACTATAAGACAGATTCAGTTTCAAACACAGATTATCTTATCTGTGCTCCATGTATTAAGAGGAGATCACAGCATTTAGGAGAACCAAAAGCTTTGATACAGAACAGCTTGCAGGCAGGGAGAAAGAAAAATGTTATGGAAAGAAAGTCTCATAGGTTATTTGGGGAGGGTGAACGTGAGAAGAGGAGGAGGAAAGAAAAGAAGAAGAGAACAAAGAGACAAAAAGTCCATTGTTGTGCAATTAGAAGCAGCAACAACTGTAAGATAAACATGAAAACACAATCTGTGACAGAATCACTATCTGATATCCAGAGAAAAACACTTTCTTTAGAAAGACTGTTGAATAAAGACAATAATCCAGGTAGGTTGATGCACCAGCCACCATAATTTAAGGAGTAGGTCTAGGAATCTACATGCTTTCCTTTCTGGGGTACTTGATGTTCTGATCCATATAGCTTGTCTACCCTTGATAGCAAAATAGTAGCTTCCAATTTCTTGAATCTTATGTTGCAGTACTAGATGGAAAGCATGTCAGTATTAAATAAATCAAATCAAGAATCTGTATGTGCAATCACACATTGAATTTTTCTTTTAAGCTATGTTTACTGCATTCAAACATTTAATCCGCCCAAACAGGCGCCAAACTTGTAAACAGAGCAGCACACAGAGTTCAAAATTCTCTTGGAAAGTGTTATTTTTTACTATTTATGTTGATTTGACAAAGAATTTTTTTTTTTTAAATGATACCATGAATAACAGAATTAAAGCTAAGAAGCCTCTTTACTAAAGATCTGCTTAACAAAAACACAGTCCAGAATCTGATTCTGGAGCCAGTGCCAAAACACTGATCATAAAGTGATCTGGCAGGCAATACTGAGGCAGCAGTGACCTTTATGGACCAGTTCACCAGAGCTACTTAGGTCAGAACCCCAGTGTGCTACAACCATGAAAATGTGCCAAACCCCTTAACTCCTGGCACTGTATGAAAGTATTAAATATGCAACAATACCATTACTTCATGGAGGAACTCTCCCCCACCAGCTGTGCCCAGAAATGCCTTAAACACAGTTTGAAAAAGAAGTAACAGAAAGAGAAGAAAACAGGTAACTGAGGCACAAGGTGTATACTTTACTCCTGAAGTAAAGAACTGTAGAAATGGAAAGGTCTAAGAATTAGGAATCCCAGCAGGTACAAGAGCGGGCAAAAGAGTGCCTTACGTTAAGCTACCGGACAGAAAGGGAAGAGCTCCTGGGCCATAGCAGCCCCCACACTACCTTCTGGAACGAGGGGAGGTCCCCGCACAGGAGTCCGTCGCGCTCATGGCGCCCTGCCTCACGGCTCTCTATCACGAGAGGCCCCCAA